CCACTATCCCTCCCCGTCCCTTCATCTGCTGTCTTCTTAAAGAGCTGCAAGTACACTGCAATTATTTGTTTTTTTTTCTCTCTCTCTCCTCTAAAGCAACTTCAAAGCCATGCAAGGCCCTCTCCAGGGCCCCCCGGGGGCCCCCCCACAGGCTCCCTTAAGGGGCCCTTGGGGGGCCCCCCCTCAAGGCCCCCTGGGGGCCCCACCTCAGGGGCCCTTGGGGGGTCCCCCACAGGCCCCCATGGGGGCCCCCACGCAGGGGCCCTTGGGGGCCCCCCTGCAGGGACACTTAAGGGCTCCCGCGCAGGGGCCCTTGGGGGGCCCCCCTCAGGGGCCCTTGGGGGGCCCCCCTGGGGTACCCTCTGGGGGCCCCCCCGATGGAGATCTATTTACCCCTAGGTGGCTTCCGAGTTGGGTTAGGAGACAGCTGCTGCAGCGGCAGCAAATTAGAGACAATGCCGGTGTATGCCCCATGTGCGGCGCGAGATGCAGCAAGCTTCAGCAGCAGCAGCAACAGCAGCAACAGCAGCAGCAGCAACAACAACAGCAGCAGCAGCAGCGGATGCTCCGGCGCTATACTGCAGCTGTTTGCTGCAAAGAGGGAGTCAAAGAGATGTCTGCTGTCTCCTCTGCTGCTGCGCAGAGCAGCTCCGGCTATTCCCAGTCCCCTCAAGGCCCAGCAGCAGCAGCAGCAGCAGCAGCAGGAAGCGGTGAATGCGAGTTAGAGAGGGCCCGGTTGGGGCAGTCGAAGGACAATGAAGCTTCAGGGGTAAGGGCTAGCTTGAGGCATGTGCTGCTGCTGCTGCTACTGCTGCATGCATGCGCTCATCATTCTAATCGGTTGTTGCTGCTGCTGCTACTGTGCTGCTGCGGATGCTTCAGACCCGGCTGTGTCTTTCTTCGGGCCTCACGCCTGGACTTGAGAGGCTGTATGTACACCGCAAGTCGCCTCGGAGAACTCGGCAGCAGCAGCAGCAAAAGCAGCAGCAGCACACGAGTCCTTCTGCTGCTGTTGCTGCAACTGCTGCTGGTGCTGCTGCTGCTACAGTTCGTTACTCGGAGCCAGCCGGCAAGGTTGAGCGTGCTTTGGGTGTTTGCTGCTGCAGCTGCAGCGGCTGCAGCAGCTCTTCCCCTCAGCAGCGGCAGCAACTGCAGCAGCAACTGCAGCAGCAGCAGCAGCAACAGGAGCAGCGGATACTAGCATTAGATTCCTTTATATGGAAGCTAGCGTTTGACCCCCGGGATCTCCTTTATATAAGACAAGTAAATAAAGAGGGCCTTCGTTTTGCTGAGGAGACACTTAAGCGCATTATGCGTTTGCTGCTGCTGCTGCCTGCAGCAGAGACAAGACCAGAGCAGCTCAGGCCCTGGCTCCTTGATGCTGCATTAGCTGCATGGCAGCAATCCTTCAACAGCAAACTGCTGCTGCGAGCGCAGCAGCAGCAGCAGCAGCAGCAACAGCTGCAGCAGCAGCAGCAGCAGCAGCGAAGGAAGTGGCAGCTGCTAGAGACAGGCTGCTGCGAGTGGGCTGCGTGGAGACAGCCGGAAAAGAGAGACAGCCAACCTGCAGCAGCAGCAGCAGCAGCATCCGTAAGAAGAAGAACAGCAGCAACAAAAACAGCAGCAGAAGCAGCAGCAGCAGCAGCAGGGTATCAGCGTATATCCCCCGCTGTTGCTGCGCTGCTAGCGACGCAGCAACACAGAGCAATTCTGCTGGCAGCAAACACAGCAACAGCTGAACACAACGGAGACTGGTTCGAGTACTGCGAAGCAACTGTGCTGCTGCTCCCCTGCAGCAGCATCAGCAGCAACAACAGCAGCAGCAGCAGTAGCAGCAGCAGTAACAGCAGCGACAGCAGCAGCGGCTCCCGCAGAAACGGGAGCAGCAGCAACAGGGACTGCGGGGACAAAAGTGCAACCAGCAGCAGCAGCAGCAGCAGCAGCAAGTGCAGACACTGCAGCAAGTTGCAAGCAGGGACTTCATTTATGTCTGAGCTGCAGCAGAGGATTCAGGTGTCTCTCCGGCGGCACTGTCAGCGTATAGACAGCCAGCTGCTGCAACAGCAGCAGCAGCAGCAGCAGGGGCTACTGCTGCTGCCCCCAACGGAAGCGCAAAGCCTGCACGGTGGGGCTTCAGATGCTGCTGCTGCTGCAGCCTTTCTAGATGCATGCGAGAACCAGCGGCAGCGCAACACCCAGCAGCAGCAGCAGCAGCAGGAGGAGGAAAGGCTTGCAAGCGTGTTGACAGACTGCAGGCGTTGTGTAATGTACGAGTTGGTGGCTTCGCGGCCTCGAGGCGGCGGCCGCGTTGCTGCTGCGGGAGATGCAGCAGCAGCAGCAGCAGCAGCAGCAGCAGGGCCTGCTTGCGGGTCTGTAGGTGGAGGCCTTTTGTGTGTATATACGCATGGATGGGGCTTGCTAGAGCTGCTGACGCATGCATGCTCCTGGGAGTTTCTTTTTCTTTATTTATCTGCTGGAGAGACAGCAGCAGCAACATTTGCTTCTCTGCTGCAGCAGCTGCCTCTCCGCAGCACTTGGGAAGGCTTCCTTAGGGCCTTCCCCTGCTGCACCCGCTGGGGGACTGTCCCTTCTCTGCAGCACGAGCTCGGCCTGTGCACAGATGCAGCAGCTGCTGCTGCTGCTCCTGCTGCTCCAGCAGCAGCAACAACAAGTGCACCTGCTGCTCCTGCTGCTGCTCCTGCTGCTGCTGCTCGGTCTCCTCCTCTGTGGGCGTGGCGGCCTAAGCTGCAGCGGCTGCGCAGCAGAGACTGCTGCTGCTTCAGAGACAGTTTCTTTGCTGCGCTGCTGAGAGATAGCACCCGTCTCCACCGTCTCCGTCGAGGAGACCTAGAGGAGAATGGGGGATGCCAGCAGCAGCAGCAGCAGCAGCAACAACAGCAACAACAGCAGCAGCTGCTGCTGCAACAGCAGCAGCGGCATTGGGGGAGCTTTGGGGGCTTCAAACAAATTGCCGGCAGCGGCAATCGATCAGCGCGAGCTGCAGCAGCAGCAGCACGTTGCAGCAGAACCAGCAGCAGTAGCAGAAGCAGCAGCAGCAGCAGCAGCAGCGAAGACACCGGAAATCTGTCTGAGGACTTAGATGAGTGCATGCAGCTGCTGCCACCCCCATCTCCATATAAAGAAAGAGACAGATTATTGCTGCAGCTGCAGGTTAATCTCGCTAATAGCCAGGCTGTACGTTCACTGCTGCAGCAGAACCTCCCCCGCAGGGGTAGGGAGGCAGCTGTAGCTGCTGCGGCTGCAACAGCAGCAGCAGCAGCAGCAGCTGCTGCTGCTGCTGCCAGAGCAGATTCGCGGGCTTCTTATTACGGTAGGCGCACCTCCCTCACCATCAGACAGTCTCTCGTCCCTTCTGCTGAAGAAGATGCCGAGCAGCAGCAGCAGCAGCAACAGCAGCAGCAGCAGGTGCTGCAGGGCGACTCCAGCAGCACAGGGGCCTATGGGCAGCAGCAAGAGACGGTGCTGTCTCTGTGGAGAACCCCCTCAGAAGCTCTGCTGCGGGAGCAGAGACAGCATCAGCAGCAGCTGCGCCTCAGCAGCAGCAGCAGCAGCAACGGTCTCATAGGCGGCAGCAGCAACGGCAGCAGCAGAAGCAGCAGGAGGCTCCGCGCTGCCCGCAGGCCCTCAAACCTCTACCCGCCTCTCTTCAGACGCAGCAGCAGCATCCTAGACCGTCAAGGCAGCAGCAGCAGCAGCAGCAGCAGCAGCTTGGCGATCCTGGCAACGCCCAGTCTCCTCCTAGCCCCTCAACAGCAGCAACTGCAGCAGCAGCAGCAGCTTCAGCAGCAGCAACAGCAGCAGAGACCGCATCCCACTGCCGCCGATTATGGGCCTCCAACTCTGCAGCATGCAGCTTTGCTACCTCGGGGTTCTGCTGCTGCAGGCATATTCTCCGCTTCATTTCAGCAGCAGCAGCAGCAACAGCAGCAGCAGCAGGAAGAACAGGTGGGTGCTTCGGGGGAGAGAGCTGTTACTGCAGTCTATGCTTCGGGCGCGCATGCGTCTCAGCCTCTTCAAGCCCCCACGCAAGCAGCAGCAGCATTGCAGCAGCAGCAGCAGCAGCAACTCCTGCTGCAGCACGAAGAAGATGCGGCCTCTGCTGCTGCACCGACACGAGTCTCAAGCCCAAGAGAAGACCCGCCTGAACAGGAAGCAGCAGCAGCAGCAGCAGCAGCAGCAGGATCACCACAAACACCAGCAACCACAGCAACAGCGTCAGCAGCAACAACAGTATCACCAGCAGCAGCAGGAGTATCACCCGCAGCAGCAGCAGCAGCAGCAGCAGTATCACCAGCAGCAGCAGCAACAGCAGGAGCAGCAGTGGGTGTTGATGCTTCTAGTGAGTCTGGTGAAGAAGAAGGGACACGAACCCCCAGAGTAGAGGAGAGCGGGCTGTCTCCTTTGTTAGGCCGTCTGAGTATTCAAAACTTTAGCTGCTGCAGCAGCAGCAATGGTAGCAGCCCCACAAGGTCTCCTAGCCCCGAGCAGCAGCACAGACGCATGCGACAACTCCTCAACTATGAACGCCAGCAGCAGCGAGTCTTGGAGGAAGAATGCCGACAAAGAACAAGCCCTATTGCTGCTCTGCAGCAGCAGCAGCAGCAGCAGCAGCAGCGTGCGAGGCAGCAACCTGGAGCTTCGGCAGCAGCAACAGCACCCAAAGCAGCAGCTCCTTCCTTCCCCAGCGTGCAGTCGCTGCACCAACGCAACATTCCGCGGCTTGCAAGACCTGTAGATACACCGCAGCAGCAGCAGCAGCAGCAGCAGGTTACCCAGTCCCCGTTTGCCTTTCTGTCCTCCTGCGCAGCTATGGCTAGGAGAAAGAGACCCTCTTCCGCCTTCACTCAAGTGTCTCCAATCGAAGGTGCTGCTGCTGCACCTGCTGCTGCTGCACACCGCAATACCTGCAGCAGCAGCAGCAGCAGCAGTTCTGCCTCTTCAGCTGGGTCCCCCATTTGGACTCCGGCTGCAAATATTGTACATGCCACAAACGACAGCAGCAGCAGCAGCAGCAGCAGCAGCAGCAGCAGCAGAATTATTCAGCCGCGGCCTTCTGAACTGACGCCAATTTTATGCAGGATGAGTCTAGCAGAACCCTCAGACACAGACAGCGGCGAGGATGACCTCCAGCAGCAGCAGCAGCAACAGCAGCAGCAGCAGCAGCAGCAGCAGCAAAGGGCGAACTTGCAGGCTGCATCTGCAGCACGATCTGCTGCCAGCACATCGCAGCCCCAAAGGAGGCCCCAGCAACAGCACCTCCGAGGCCGCATCCCGGTCTTTCCCCGTCTTAACAAGGCAGCAGGAGCTGCTTCTGCTGCTGGTCCTGCTGCTAGCAGCAGCAGCAGCAGCAGGAACAACTGCAGCAACAGCTCTCTTGACGCTGGCCCTGTACGCGGGGCCAGGAGAAGCCGCGCTGCTGCTGCTGCTGCTGCTGCTGCTGCTGGCCGCGATGCTCCATATCGTCGTCCCTGGGCAGACAGACAGAGGCCTTTCCCGCTTGCTGCTGTTGCTGCTGCTGCTCCTGCTGCTGCTGCTTCTGCTGCTCAGACGCCCCAATCGGGGGCTGCTCCGGCAGCGGATGAGGCGGCGAGGGCAGCAAGACCGAGAACAGCTGCAGCAGCAAGCAGTGCAGCAGCAGCAGCATCAGCATCGATTCACAAAGAGACATGGGTGCAGCAGAGAGCTGCAGCTCACCCCAAAGAGAGTAGCAGCAGCAGCAGCAGCAGCAGCATGCGAGCTGCAGGACGAAGCAGCAGCACGAGGAGTGCTGTTGCTGCCAGCGGCGCTCCCCCTCATAGGCAGCGGCAGCAACTGCTGCTGCAGCAACTGCAACACCCTCAAAGGGTGGGCTCCAGCAGCAAGCTCCTGGGGAAAAGCAGCAGCAGCAACAGCAGCGGTAGCAGCAACAGCAGCAGCAGCAGCAGTCTGCAGAGCAGCAGCCAGGGATCTGCTGCAGGCAGCCGCAGCACACTGGGGCCAATCCCCGTGGGGTCTCTTCTTGAGCGGAAGCGCAAGCAGACCAGCAGCAGCAGCAGCAGCAGCAGCAGCAAAAACAGCAGCAGCAGAACCGCTGCTGGGCCTGTTTCTAAGGCACGGATCTGTCGTCCCCCGTCCTCCGCCCCTCCCACGCAGAACAGCAGCAGCAGCAGCAGCAGCTCCGATATTCCGCGAGCCAACAGCAACAGCAAGCTCAGCGGCGGCAGCAGCAGCAGCAGCTCCGATATCCCGCGAGCCAACAGCAGCAGCAAGCTCAGCAGCAGCAGCAACAGCAGCAGCAGCAGTTCCGATATCCCGCGAGCCAACAGCAGCAGCAAGCTCAGCAGCAGCAGCAGCAGCATGAGTAGAATACCGGCAGCCCAGCAGCAAGCGCAGCAAACCCCACAACCTAAAGATAACGTGGGGGCCCCCCGAATACAGGCGAAGATAAGAAGGGCCCCCCCACCTCTCCAGCCTAAGAAGCTCCCCACAAGCAGCAGCAGCAGCAGCAGCAGCAGCAGCACCAGCAGAAACCGGAGTACAGGTGCAGCAGCGAGGATCCAAAACAGACCTTCTGCTGCAGCAAAGACGCAGCGAGGCTCTGCTTCGCGTCGAGTGCAATCGCTGCCCAGCAGCAGCAGCAGCAGCAGCATCACCAGCAGCAGCAGCAGCAGCAGCACGGCAGCAAAGCCACCTCTAATAGGGAAGAAGCTGGACCGAACAGGCAAGCCTAGCAGATTAGCAGCAGCAGCAGCAGCAGCAGCAGCAGGGCAGAATGCCAGCAGCAACATAGGGGGCCCCCTTCCTCCCGTTCGCAGCACAGGAGCGGGGAGGGCCCCTTGAGGGCCTGTGCAGCAGCAAAGCTGCGGTGTACAGACAGCTGCACCCTCCAAATGCAGCAGCATGCAGCAAGCAGGGGGCCCCCAAGACGCTCAAGAGGGCCCCCAGGGGCCCCCTGGCCACGGGCTTAGCAGAGGGGGCCCCATTAACCCCCATAGGAACCGCTATATCTTTTTGTCTATATATATAATATATACATTTATATTTTCTATATATATATAATTTATAAATATATATATATATATATATATTGTATATATATAGGTATATATATATACAATAAATATGAAGTACGTAGAGATGATAGTGCATCTGTTGTTTAGTTGTTTATGCTTCTCTCTCTTCAGCTGTAGAGACAGCCAACCGGTGTTATAGCACCCGCCCTCGCAGCAACAAAGCAGCAGCAGGAGAGACAGCAGCAGCAGCAATAAGGAAAGCAGCAGCAGCAGCAAGGGGCAGCAGCAGCAGCAGAGGCTAGTCCTTGTCTCCATCTGATACCCTTAGAATGTACAGACTGCTAACAAAATTTTGAATTCGTTCTGCGTGCAGTAGCAGCAGCAGCAGCAGCAGCAGCAACTGCTGCTGTTGCTGCTGCTGCTGCACCTGCTGCAGTATCAAAGCCAAGGTCTCTTCAAAGTAATGGAGACGCCGCACAACTAGAAGCAGCAGGCAGTCCCCGAAACAACATAAGCTGCAGCAGCACAAGTAGCATCACCTGCTGCAGCAGCAGCGGCTGCTGCTGCTGCTGCTGATTGAGGCACCCCAATAAAGCTATGCACTCTCCTGTTCTCCTTTACATCGAGGGGCCCCCGGGGGCCCCCTTAATACCCTTTCTTTAATACCGCCTAATCTCAGCTGCGCGCCTCTCTTCAACAGACACCTGCAGATCGCCAGCAGCAGCAGCAGCAGCAGCAGTAGCAGCAATAAGGAAAGCAGCACAAGCAGCAGCAGCACCAGGAGCAGCAACAGCAACCCGTGCCTCCACAGGCGCAGCCCCACCACAGCAGCAACGACGAATCAGCAACAGCAGCCCAAGCAGCAGCAGCAGCAGCAGCAACAGCAGCATCAGCATTGACGTACAGCATCATCCGTATACATAAGCCGTGTAGACGCTGGCAGCGGCGGTGTTGAGAAGACAGGCGGGGGCCCTGGGGGTACAGTAGAGCTTCTGGGGCCCCCCCTTGCTGCAGGGGGCCCCCCTTGGCCTGGGGGCCCCCCTGCTGCTTTTGTATGAGGGGGGGGCCCCTGACCTAACCCAGGAGGTGCAGCACCTCCTCCAACGCCTGGCATACCCCCGTGCTGCTGCTGCTGCTGTGGAGGAGGCATCAACCCGTGGGGCCCCGGGGGGCCCCCCATTGGGTACACAAATGGTGGCTGCTGGGGGCCCCCAGGGGCCCCAGGCATTCCTTGAAGCGGCATCCCTGTTGCCTGCAAAAAGAAGAGACAGAATCTATTAAACTGCTGCTGCTGCTGCTGTTGCTGCTGTTCCTGGTGCTACTGTTGCTCTTGTTGCTGCTGGTGCTCGTACTATTGTTGCTCTTGTTCTTGTTGCTGCTGCTGCTGAGCTGCCTATACACCTCATGCCTCTCACCTGGCTTAACAGACCCTGCAGATTTGGCGGTGCCGGCAGTGCGGGCGGAGCTGCTGCAGCATTTGGAAAGGAAGGCACTGCAGCAGCAGCAGCAGCAGCAGCAGCAGCAGCAGCAGCAGCAACAGGAGCAAAATAATAGGAGGAGACGTCTCTTTGTGTTCGCTCTCTCCGCAGCAGCCACAACAGCAGCAGCAACAGCAGCAACCGCAGCACTAGGAAGGGCCCTCGCTCAGCGACAACCCTTTGTATTATCTGTCTGTCTCCTCTGAATAAAATAAAACAGCATTTGCTTACGAGATGCTGCTAAGCCCGGTATAACAGGCGTCGGGGGCACCCCTTCAAACTGAGGCAGCTGCCCCTGCTGCGCCAGCATTATAAAATGCTCTAAGCTAACAGGCGCCATTGTCACCTACAAGCAGCAGCAGCAGCAGCAGCAGCAGCAGAGTAGCAGCAGCAGATAGAGTAGCAGCATTTAATTATATAATCCTTACAGATGCAACAGACAAGGCAGAATACACATATTCAATTATCTCTACTGCTTCTGCTGCTGGCTCTTTCTGTTGCTTCTGCTGCTGCTCTTTCTGCTGCTTCTGCTGCTGCTCTTTCTGCTGCTTCTGCTGCTGCTCTTTCTGCTGCTTCTGCTGCTGCTCTTTCTGCTGCTTCTGCTGCTTCTGCTTCTACATCATCAACAAGAATTGCTAATAAACAAATATAAATAAATATAAATATATATATATATATATAAATATAAATATATATATATTACCTGTGCCCAGTTAGCCCTCTCTCTCTTTCTATTAGCTTTCTTGTCTGCTTTCTGTTGAAAACGCTGCAGCTTCTCCTGAATAATCTCAGCAGGGATGCCGTCCATGCCGTGCACAATGACGTCCACAGAGTCTCTGCCTTGTAACGCATTCGGCACTGCTGCTAGCTGCTCCTTGTGCACCTGCACAACAGCAGCAGCAGCAGCAGCAGCAACAGCAGCAGCAGCAGCAACAGAAGTAGAGAATGATGATAATAATGATGATAATGATGCAGAAAAAGGAAAGGGGAGATTAGGTCCGATGTGCGCTTGCATATATATATATATATTATATATATGTACATATATATATATTATATGTATATATATATGTATATATATATTATATATATATATATATATGTTGAAGGAGGAGACAGAGGAAAGAAAGAAAGAAAGGAGAGGAAGACAGCAGACACGCAACCACACATAAACCCACGCATGCAGCAGCAACAGGAATTGCTGCTGCTGCTGCTGCTGCATGCACACAGCAGCAGCAGAAAGCGCTGCTGCTACTGCTGCTGTCTCGCAGCAGAACACAACAGCAGCGGGAACTACTGCCTCTGCATGCACGCAGCAGCACCAGCAGGATACAGCAGAAGCAGTTTCTGCTGCTTCTGCTGTTTAGTAAGACAAGAGAGCAGCAATATCTACACACCTGCAGCAGATGCACAGCCAGCCCCGTTGCTGTATCAAGCTTCCTGCAGCAAATGCTGCACTTAAAATGTTTTGCTTTCTGATGCTGAATAAGCACCTTCTCATCATCAAAGCCCCTGTCACAGTAATAGCAGAAGGGCTTGACTCTAGACCCTCTCTTCTTCTTCCGCCCCATCTTTGCTGCTGCTGCTGCTGCAGTTGCTGCTGCTGCTGCTGCTGTGGTGGTGGTGGTGGCTACTCCTGCTCCTGGAAAAGACCCCTCACGATGCCTACGCTGCACCCGATACACTCCGAGGAGCTGCCTGTACACCTCAGAGCAGCAGCAAGAACAGCAGCTGCAGCAGCAGCAGCAGCAGCCGTTCGCTAAGGCCAAGGCACTGAGGAACAGAATACGAAGAGAAACAATGAAAGTAAATGAAAAAGAGAATATTCAGCAGCAACTGCAGCAACTGCTGCTGCTGCTGCTGCTGCTGCTGCACTCCCTCAACGGGGGGCGCTCGGTGCGAGGCCTGCAGCAGAGAAGAGAGAGCAAAACTATCCTTTGTCTCTTTTGATTTAAATAAAATAAATGAAGTAAGACAAATGCAAAAAAGATCTCCCTCGCAAAACGCTCGTCGACAGCCACTCCAGCAGCAGCAACAGCAGCAGCAACAGCAGCAGCTGCAGCAGCAACAGCAGCAGCAAGGGCTGGGGCATGCGCGAACAAGGTTGCCTCTCCAGCAACCGCTCCAGCAGCAAACTGCTGCTGCTGCAGCAACACGAACGTCAATATTTATTTAAATTAATTATAATTTTAATAATAAAAGCTTCCTTTAGCAGCACAATGTAAATAATGCTACTGTCGGGAGTAGTCCTTGCTTGAGGCCTGCTGGAGTAGCAGCAGCAGCAGCAGCAGCTGCGCTGCTGCTACTGCTGCTGCAGCTCACGCTGGGTGGTGTGCGTAAGAGCCTCCTTGAGGTATATACACCACGACACATTGCTTGCTGCTGTTGCTGCTGCTGCTGCTGCTGCTGCAGATTGTCTCTCTGTCTTGTTTATTTCAATCCGTCTGTCTCCTCCAGGGGGGAGGGGGGAGCCAGTGGGGTAGCTGCTCGCTGCTGTCTGCTCTGCTCAATCTGTCTCCTTTTGTCTGCTGTCTGCGTTTGTGTCGACTGTCTATCTCCTGCTGTCTCCTCCTGCCTGCCCCCCATCCTAAGCAGCAGCAGCAGCAGCCGCTGCTGCTGCTGCTGCTGCTGTCTGCCTCCTAATGCCCGAGAGGGACACCGCCTTCTGTCTCCTCACACTGGTAATAGAGAGCCTCCTAAGCAAAAGGAGACAGACAGCCGCTCTCCCCTTGCTTTAGAAACAGTCTGTCTCCTCACAGTTAAGAGGTACTCTGTCTCCTCATAGTTAAGAGACAGTCTGTCACCTCATAGTTAAGAGACACCCTGTCTCCTCGTAGTTAAGGGGCAACCTGTCTCCTCATAGTTAAGAGACACTCTGTCCCCTCATAGTCAAGAAGGTGTCTCTGTCTCCCCGCACTTACGAAGCTGTCTCAAGCATCTGTCTCCTGTCTATCTTCTCTACTTAAGAGGCTGTCTGCCTTCTCATACTGGTGAAGTTGTCTCTGTCCCTTCATAGTTAAGAATACGAAGCTGTGTGCGTGTAGCTCGTCATATTAAGGAGACTGTCTCCGTCTGTCTCCTTATGTTAGAGAGACTGTCTCTGCCTGTCTCCTTATGAGTAAGGGGCTGCCTCTGTCTGTCTGTCCCCTTGTAAGTAAAGGGCTGTCTCTGTCTGTCTCCTCATACGTAGGGGGCTGTCTGTGTCTGTCTCCTTATGCTAAGGAGGCTGTCTCTGTCTGTCTCCTCGTACTGTTCGTGCCCCTATTTGAATAAATTGTCTCCTGCCCCCTGCTGCTAAGGAGAGACAGTTTGAGAGCAGCAGAGCCCTCAAGTTAGTTAAGAGACACCTCTCAACTACAACAATAATAAACAGCTCAATAGACTTATAACCAGAAGGTTGCGGGTTCGATTCCCCCCATCTGTTTATTTTATACAGAGACATCTCTTTGGTACATCTCATCCAACTGCTGCTGCTACTACTGCAGCAGGTGCTGCTCGTTGCTGCAGCAACAGCCATCAATGCATGCAGCAACTGCTGCTGCTTCTCACTGCAGTAGTGCTGCTCTGTGCTGCAGCAACAGCTGCTCCAACAATTGCTTGAGGTGTCTCTGCATGCATCGAGTAGGCCTTTGCCTCTTTCACTGTCTCTTCAGCTGTCTCCGCAACTGTCTCCTCATGTGTCTCCCTAACTATCTCTCATATCTCTCGTAGCCATCTCCTTAACTGTCTCATAACTGTCTCCTTAGCTGTCTCCTAACTGTCTCCTTAGCTGTCTCCTAGCTGTCTCCTCAGCTGTCTCCTCAACTTCCCTCAGCCGAGGCGAAGGAACAGATTTGTCAACTGCGGCCCTCAGGCATTCGGTGATCCGATCTTAGCTGCTGCTGCTGTTGCTGCTGCTGCTGCTGTTGCTGCTGCTGCTGCTGTCGGGATTGCATTGTGTGGGGCTGGCAAAGTAAAGATAAAAGTTTAAAAGAGACAGAAAGGGTCTCCTTTGCAAATGCATGCGCTCTTAATAATAATAATACTATTATTATATATATTATTATTCTTATTAAATAATATATATTGTATAATAATAATATTACTATTATTATATATATTATTATTCTTATTAAATAATATATATTGTACAGACAATATTAAAAATGCAAAACACAGCAAACAATGAGACAGAGGAGACAGCCGCCTCAGACACCGGCGACGACTCAAGAGGAGACCGGAGACACCAGAAAGGAGACAGGAGACAGCAGAAAAGAGACAGGACACAAAAGGCAGCAAACAACCGACAGGAGGAGACAGCAGACAACAGACAGGAATAGACAGCAGACAGCAGACACGAGGAGACAGGAAGAGACAGCAGACAGGAAGAGGCAGCAGACACGAGGAGACAGGAGGAGACAGAAGGCTACAGCAGGAGAAGGGAGGAGACAGAAGGAGACAGCAAGGAGACAGGCTATCACTGTCTCTTTTGTCTGCGTCTGCTCATGGGGCTGTTTCTTCTTGTTCTTTGTCTTTGAATAAAAGATAAATTGTCTGCTTGCTGCATTCCGCTGTCTCCTTTTTTCTGTCTCCTCTCAGATGAGGCCTCCCGCAACAAAGGAGACACCTCCTCCCCAGACAGCTGGAAGAGACAGCTGCTGAAGCCCTCCTCCTCCTCATCCTCTGCAGCACGAGGGCCGCCAGAGGGAGCAGCAGCAGCAGCAGCAGCAGGTGGTGTCTTGGGGATGCGAGCTCTGAGGCTTCTGTCTCCTTGACCAAGCCTTCTGCGGGGGCCTGAGGAAAGCAAAATACAACAGCAGCAGCAGCAGCGCATGCAGCAGCAGCAGCAGCGCGTGCAGCAGCAACAGCAGAGCATACAGTAGCAGCAGCGAGTCCAGTAGCAGCAGCAGAGCATGCAGCAGCAGCTAATTGATTCAGACTGCTTCCATATATCTAAATTAGCCGGCGGAAACGCATGCAAGTTCAGGTCTCCTGCTGCTGCTGCTACTGGTGCTGTCACGTGTGCTGTTGCTTCTGCTGCTGTTTCTGCTGCTGTTTCTGCTGCTGCCTCTCCTGCTGCTGCTGCTGCTGCTGCTGCTTGTGCGCGAGCAACTAAACCCACCGGAGACAGCGCTGGGCTTCGACGCCCTCGGCTGCTGCTGCTGCAGCATAGAGGCGAGACCTGAGGAGACAGCAGAAACAAAAACAAATGCATGCATGCAAAGCAAAAAAATAAACTAATAAATAAATAAATAAATAGACAGACAGACAAACAAACAAACAAACAAACCAAGCAAACAAAGGCATGCAGCACAAAACAAGAGAAGTCGAGCGACGCTGCTGCTGCTACTGCAGCAGTACTGCAGGCCAAGCAGCAGAAGTGCAGCAAGAAGCAGAAAAGGAGACACAAAAACCCAACGGAGACAATCGGCAAAGGGAGACACACCATCTTGGAGATCCAGCAACGACGGCGTAGCAGAGGGGACTGCAAACATAGCAGCAGCAGCAGCAGCAACAGCAGCAACAGCAGCAATGGGTGTCTTCTCTGCACAGCAATTAGGAGAGCAGGGATTAAGGAGACAGCAGCATCCCCAGCAGCAACAGCAGCAATAAAACTCTCCTTCACCTAGCCCCCAGGCGAGAAGGAAATGAGACAGCAGCAGCAGCAGCAGCAACAGCAGCAGCAACAGCAGCAGCAGCAAGTGTCTCCTGCAAAAGTTTCCTGCACCTAGCCCATAGGCGAGCAGGGTATGAGGAGACAGTTGCTGCTTCTTAAGTGTCTGTCTCCTCTTCTTGACTCACCTGTTACATCAAAGAGAATCTGCTGTATTTGTGTAGCAATGCTTTCAGGTGTCTCCCCACGGAGCCGCAGCTCTCGACGCAACTCGGGATCGCCTTGGAGACGATCCCGGATCGTTTGAAGCACCTCCGAGTGCTGCACATCCCCCAGAGTCTCCTCATCTCCTCCCTCACCCCCTATGCTTTCCTCTGTCTCCTTTGCAGCCTCCTTTGCTGCCTCTTCAGGTGTCTCTTCAGGTGTCTCTTTAGGTGTCTCCTTTGGGGCTCCTTCGTTCCTGCTTAGCAGCGCATGCATTGCTGCTTCGTGTTCTCCTTTGATGAGTTGTCGTATCTCCTCTCGGTGTGCAGCAGCAGCTGCTGCTGCTGCACTGTCTCCTTTTTTGTCTCTGCTTCTTTCTTTCTTCAGAGACTGCAGCAGATCTGCTTCAGACTTCGAGAAAAAAGCAGCAAGTTCTGCTGCTGTCACTTGCTCAGCTGTCTCTTCTTCTGAGGTGTCTAGACACCCAAGTGGGTTGATGTCTCCTTTCCTGTCTTTCTTCCGATCTTTATAAGGAGACAGATTCTCCTTTCTATCCCGAGGCTGCTGCTGCTGCTGCTGCTGCGGGGTATCATAGGCCTTGAGCTCCCTTTGCAGTGTCTCCAGTGACACCTCAACCTCCTCCTCCAAGCCTTCGGCTGCCTCTCTTTCTGCTGCTGCTGCTGCTGTCTCTGCTGCTTCTCTCTCTATTTGTTCTCCCTCTGCTGCAGCTGTCTCTCCTGCAGCCGTTTCTAATACTTCTCCGTCTGCTGCAGCTGTCTCTCCTGCAGCTGTCTCTGTTGCAGCAGCATTCTTCCCTGCAGCAGCAGGGGAAGCTGCTGCTGCTGCTGCTGCTGCTGCTGAAGCGGTGTCTGTTGCTGCAGCATGGCTACGGATTGCATGCGTTTGTGTACGAGTCTGTATATCTTTTATAGGTATCTGCTGCAGCACGGGGATGCCGTCAGCCCCTAAGACAGGGACATCTGCTGCAGCAAGCCCCGCTCTTTCGGCATATTTTGCTGCGTCTTGCTGCAGCATATCTATCGTTACAAGCCCCGACTCCTTTTTAAGCAGCTGCTTCGCGTCTTCTATCGAAAGATCGTCAGCACTCTGACGCAGAAACCTGCACACACAAAAAGGAGACGCCAGCAGCACCACCATCTGCAGCAGCAGCTGCAGCACCTGCAGCAGCCGTAGCAGCAGCCGCAGTAGCCGCTGCAGCAGCTGCTGCTGCAACGGATGTAGCAGCAGAAGCTGCAGCAGCAGCAGCTCGCACTGTCTCCTTCTCCATCATTTCACAAGGAGACAGAAGAGGCTCTAAGGCTCGTCTTCGTGTGATGTGTCTCTGATTAGGACACCTCAGCGGGAGGAGACAAGAAAGGGACAGGGGCTGGGCCTGCTGCTGCTGTTGCTGCCGCTGTTGCTGCTGCTGCTGCTGTCAGGTTGAGGAGACAAGAGTACTGGAGACAAGAAGGAGACAGCTGTTACCTGGGGTGGCGTTTGCGGGCCTTTCGTTCTTCTTCTTGCATGCGCAGCAGCTCCCGGTGTCTCCTTTCTGTCTCTAGCAGAGATAAAGCTTCATCAACATCTGCTGCTGAATAGCCTGGGAAGAGAACCTCCAGCTGCTTCTGTGTGAGTGTCTCCGAGGAGACACTTCTCTGTGGGGGAGCAACGGAGACAGAGACAGAGCCTGCTGCAGCGCCGCCAGCAGCAGCAGCAGCAGCAGCAGCAGCAGCAGCAGTGGAAGCAGCTCCTCCACCCGCCTGCTTCTTCTTCCGGTGTCTCTCCAGCAGCTTTAAGGCTGCAGCAATCTTCGCAAACTTCTCCTCAGGTGTCTCCTCTCTTATCTTCTGTCCCCCAATGCGCAGCGCCTGCTCCTTCCATTGCTGCAGCCGCTGCACTTCTGCTTCGGGCCGAGTCGTCAGCTGCAGCCTGCAGCAGCAGCAGCAGCAGCACCATATAAAGCAGCTGTATTAACCAGCTGCAGCATGGAGAGCAGCAGCACCAGCATAGAAAGAAGCAGCAGCAGCATAGACAGCAAGCAGCATGGGCAGCAGCAGCACGGAGAGCAGCAGGCAGAGGAGACTTCTTGTTGCTCCCGCTGCATGCAGCAAGTTGTCTCCTGTCCCCTCAAGGCCACCACAGGGCGAGCTAACAGACCCTCTGGGGTGTCTCCTTGTCTCTTCACTGTTATTAAAGGAGACACAGCGATGTGCGGAGACACCAGAAGGCAGCAAAAGACACAAGAAAGGCAGCAGCAGACAGCAGGAGACAAAACGGAACAGAGAAGGAGACAGACGGAGACAGCAGAAGCGTAGACGGGAGAAGACAAAAGGAGACAGAAGGAGACAGCAAAAGAGGAGACAGGAGGAGACAAAAGGAGACAGCAGGAGACTGCAGCAGACAGCAGCAGGAGACAGCAGCAAATGCATTACCTGCCCCGAGCAGCATCTACTTGAAGGACGCGGAGACCTGTCAAAGTGTCTCCTGTGCTGCAGCGCAGCATTTCGCTGGGGCTTTTGCTGCCTCTCGATCGTTCAGCTGGAGAGACACCTGAAGAGACACCCCAGCCAGCAGCAGCAGCAGGAGCCCCGCGACCGCGAGACTCGCGGAAACGCTTAAAAAGTGCATGCACGTCGTCAGGACTGTCTCCTCGTCCAACTTCGTTCTGCAGCAGCAGCAGCAGCAGAAGCAGCAGCAGCGGTAGGAATAGCGCAGACGTTGAAGGGTTGCTCGAGGGATCAGGCAGCTGCTGCCGTGTGTACTGAGGCCAAAGGGAGACTCCTATATATAATATATAAATATATATATATATATATATATATCTTCATTCATATGTATATGCATATAGCTAAAGAGACAGTGTTGTAGACTAAAGGAGACAGCTTTATAGGAGTAAAGGAGACAGATTTCTATGAGTAAAGGAGACAGTTTTCTAAAGCTAAGGAGACACTGTCTATTCCTAAGATAGATATAGGGGACAGACAGCGTTGTGTAGGCCTAAAGGAGACAGCTGTTAATGACAGGAGGAGACTTTTCTATGTCTACTAGGAGACAGCGACATGTTGGTAAAGGAGACAGCATCTGCAGCTGCTGAGCAGCAGTTGCTGCTGGCTTCTTACTGCATGCAAGAAGGCATCTTCTACTGCCCCCACATCAATAAAGAGACCGAAGGATGTACACCGCAGCACGCAGCCTGTGACGTCTTGGCCTACCTAAGGAGACAGCAGCACACATAGCAGCACGCGCTGTCTCCCTGTCTCCTTTCTTCCTCTCCAGCTATAATATACAGCTACTATTGTCCTGCTGCTCAGGAGACACGGCTGCTCCTGCAGCAGTGCAGCAGCTGCACACAGCTGGTGCAGCAGCAGCTGTTGCTGCTCCGGAGATACTGCAGCAGCAGCTGCTGCTGGTGCTAAAGCACTGCAACAACAACAGCAGCAGCAGCAGCAGCAAAAGTGTCTCCTTTTGTGTGGGTGTTATTCTTAAGAGCAGTCAATACCCAGAAGGCCTCAAGAGGTTTCCTTGGAGTGTCTCCTTTTGCTGCTGCAGGAGACGGCATTGTTGTTAGGCGCATGCGGCGATGTTCTCTGTCTATAGATTTAATAAAAAGAGACAAAGTGTCTCCAACCCGCAGCACGTCGCCTGCATGTTGTATCCATCCGTCTGCTGACTGCAGCTTCGCTGCTGCTGCTGCTGCAGCAGCAGCACCAGCTGCTGCTGCTGCTGCAGAGACAGCTGAAGGGCCTGAGGATTGAAGGAACTCAGCCCCCGAACGAAGAGCAGCAGACAGAAAATGCATATCACGGAGATGCAGCAGCCCCAAGGTGTCTGTACACCCCACGTCTATGCGACAGCCATATGAAGACACAGCAATTACCTGTAAGAAAACAAACAAATATAAATATATAAACAAATATATTAATATAAATATATATATATATATGTATGTATATTTATTTATATTTATTTATTTATAATAAGATTTATATTTAAGACAATTAAGAAGAATGCAAGGATAAAGACAGAGACAACAGAGACAAAAGCGAAGACAACAGCGAATGAGGAGACAAAATGCAGAGACGAGGAGACACCAGAAATAAAAGAGAGACAGACAAAGAGACACATGCATACATTTAAAAATATACATATATATTATACAATATAATATATATATACATATATATATGTATATCGTGAGAGAGAGAGAGAGAGGAGAGAGACGAAGAGTGAAAGAGACGAAAAGAGACAAACCCAAGAAAGAGAGACAGAGACAAAAAGAAAGAAGCAGAGAGAGACAGAGCGGTAAAGAGATACAGAAAGAAACAGAGAGAGAGAGAGAGAGACGGACAGACAGACAGCACAGAGATACGGAGACAAGAAGAGAGAGACAGAGAGGAGGAGGAGGAGACAGCAAAAGGAGACAGCAAAAAGAAGAGACAGATAAAAAGAGAGACAGAAAAAGGAGACACTACCTTCCCAATCACGTTAGCATTCTCTCTAAAATTTTCAAGCGGCAGACGCTTCGAACGAGGCAGCAAATAGGCACCCTGAAAGCAAAAGGAGACAGAGAAGAGACAGATAAAAAGGAGACAGAAATGTTATTAAAAGGAGACAGAAGGAGGAGACAGGAAGGACATTAGAAGGCAGGCAGAAAGGAGACAGGAAGGAGACAAAAAGGATATAGAAAAAAGACAGCAAAAGGAGACAAAAGGAGACAGAAAGGAGACAAATGGGAGACAGAAAGAAGACGAAGAAGAGACAAAAAGGACAGAAAGGAGACAGAAGAAGGAAACAGAAGAAGGATATCGAAAGGAGACAGCAAAAGGAGATTAAAAGGAGACAGAAGAAGGAGACAGAAGAAGGAGACAGAAGGAGACAGAAGAGGGAGACAGAAGAAGGAGACATGTAGGCCGCTGCTTTCAAAGCAACAAATATGCAGTATAAAGAGAAAAAGAGATAAAAAAGAGACAAAGAGAGAAGAAGAGAGAGAAGAGGAGACAGATGAAGGTGACAGTTAAACAAAGAAGAGGGATAGAGACGAAGTAAACCGATAAAGAGGAGAGATAAAGAGGAGACAGACAAAGGAGACAGACAAAGGAGACAGACAAAGGAGACAGACAAAGGAGACAGACAAAGGAGACAAACTACAGGGAAGGAGACAGAGAGGGACAGAAGACGCGCTGTCTCCTTCTTACCTTTCTCTCTTTTGCTTCTTTCTGCTGCACATACTCATGCAGCTGATGCGCCAGCCATTTGCTGGAGCCCAAATTCTTCAAATTCATATCTCTGCCATTGTCATCACCTTTTGCTGCTGCTGCTGCAGCAGCAGCAGCAGCAGCAGTCCTGCACCTCCTAGGGGGCCCCCTGGGGGCCCCCAGTCCTAGGCTGTGTGTGGCGTTGGTGCTGCAGAAATTACAGCCGAGGAACCCCGCTGTCTTCCATGGGCATGGGGAGAGCGCTGCTGCTGCTGTTGCATGCAGCCCTGCTGCTTGATGCAGCAGCAGCAGCAGCAGCAGCAGGAGCAGAAGCAGCAGCAACAGCAGCTTAAAGACCCTCAGTGCCGCTAGCTGCTGCTGAGAGGAGGCGCTGAGGCCCCCCATGCCCGTCCATTGGTAGATCAATAGAAATAAAGACTACGAAACTGCAGCAGCAAGAGAAAAGTAAGAGGACGGGGGCCCCCCAACCCCCGTTATAAGCCTAAGGCCCTACTGTATGAAGGTAGGAGATACAGCGAGAATAAGAAAAAGTAATATAATATAATAAATAATTAATTATAAATAAAATAAAAATTAATAGTTTATTAAATATTAACAAAAGGAAATAAAGCAAAAGGGTTGGGCCTGTGTGTGGCGTTTCATAACATTGCTGCATGCAACATCATTGAAAGAAAATAAGATAAATAGTACTATAAAATATATGTCTATAAAGCTTATTTAATCTTTAACAATTATATATATTATATATTTTAATTCTTATTCTTCTTTATTTCTTTTATTTTCTCTTCTTTTACCTGCATATACACCCCAACTGCTGCACTACTTCGCCGCATCGATGAGCTGGCCTGGTGGTTGGGCGCGGCTTCAAACCGCGTGGCGCCTCGCGGCGCAGGGGTTCGATTCCTCCTTCGGTGCGTTTAAATAAATAATTAAATAAATAAATAAATAAATAGTTTGTTTATTTATTAGTTTAATTTAAAGTTATTAATTTAATTAATTATTCAGATAAAAATAGTTAATCAAATAATTAACTATAATTAATTGAACAGTTTAATTAAAAGCCGTTAATTTAGTTAAATAAAATAAATAAATAAATAAATAGTTAAATATAATAATTAATTAAAATTTATTTGTTTAATTTAAAGTAATTAATTTAATTAATAAAACATAATTAATTAAATTGGTTATTATTAGGCGTGTGGAGGCGTCTGTCTATATACAGCACATTCTTTTGTTAAAAATGCATATATAATACAGATGTACTAATACAAATACTTATGTATATATATATACATATATATATATATATATATATTTTTATATATTTGCATGACACGCGCATAATATATAGGGATATTAATATATATGTGTATGACTATGTATATTGTATAAATATATTTATATAATATACATAATATATATATATATATTAGATGACTTATAGGGTAAAGCCTGCTCTGGTGTGGGTCTTCACTGTTGAAGGAAGTGTCTCTGCTGGGAGTAAAGGAGAAAAAGAGAGATGAATTAAACAAAAAGTTTGCGGGGCTTTGCATGCATGCAGAGAACAACAAAGTTAGAAGTAAAAGCTGAGGTGTACATACACCTTCCCTCTGTTTATAAATAGACAGCAAACAGCGGACTGCTGAGCCTATTTCCTATTAAAGCGGGGCTGCAGCCTTCTCTACTACTGCTGCTCTTGTTGGTAGTGTTGCTGCTGCTGTTGCTGCTGCTGATGCTGCTGTTGATGCTGCTGCAGATGCAGCGCACAGCGCTGGCCTGCGAAGGGCCCTGAAGAGCTGCTGCTGCCGCTGCTGCTGCTGCTGTCTCGTGCTGCTGTCTCCTTGCATGCGCAGACGCGCAGCAGCAGCGAGCAGCAGAACTGCCTTTGCTGCTGCAGCTGTATGCTCACCTCGACGCCTGCAGCAGAACGAGCTGTCTCCTTTTCTTCTTTGATTTTGCTTCTCAGCCGGCTGCCTGCTAGGCAGTTGGTGTAGCAGCTCGAGGAGACAGCTGAAGGAGCAGCTAAGGAGACACTCACGCGAACGGGGGCCCCTGCAAGCAGCAGCAGCAGCAACAGCACAGCAACCGCAACAGCTGCAGCACCGCATCCCCAGGAGCTGCAGTAGCATCCGCAGCAGAATCGATGCGTGCAGCAGGATCAAAAGAAACAATGCTGCTGCAGCTGCTGCTGCTGCTGCTGCTGCTGCTGCTGCTGCTGCAACCCTCACCTCAACGACGTCAGGCCTCAAGTGGAATTCTTCGTATGTACGCGAGCAGACCAAATAATGCACAGACAAAGGCGAAGAACTACCTAAGCAGCAGCAGCAGCAGCAGCAACAGCAGCAGCAGCAAGTGCATCACAAGCAACCATTGCAACACAACCAGTACTTCCATCCGCAGAAGCAGCAGCAGAAGCAGCAGCAGCAGCAGCAGCAGCAGCAGCAGCAGCAGCAGCAGCAGTAGCAGCAGCAGCAGCAGCTCTTGGGAAAGAGCCACGCTTCTTTCGCAGAGGGATGAAGGATTGAAAGGCCCGCGACTGCCCCTGACGCAGCAGCAGCAGCAGAACAGCAGCAGCAGCAGCAACAGCAGCAACAGCAGCAATTCGGCGTACGCACCAACCGACATGAGCCTTTGCTCTACAGCGCTGATGAGAGCAGCACATCCTTGAGGTAGCGGCATCGCGAGGAGACTGTTATCCGATGTCTCCGCTGCTGCTGCTGCTGCTGCTGCTGTTGCTGCTGCTGCTGGAGACAGGCGTTTGCTGCTGAGGGGAGGGGCCAGCCACACAACTTGTCGTAGACCCGTAAACAAATGCGGAGGCAGCTGCAGCAGCAAATGCATGTCTTCCACCAGCAGCACCTGAAGATGCACACAAAGAGACAGGAGACACCCCACTCACAACCAGCAGCAGCAGCAGCAGCAGCAGCAACTGCAGCAGCAGCAAACTGGTGATGCTGATAATGATGACGATGATGAGGCTTATGAAAACCGTCTTAATAGACAAACAGCACCAGCATTTGCATGCAGAGTTAAGAAGGCAGCAGAGGAGACAGCTGCAGAAACGAGAGAGAAAGAGAGACACTTGAGGCTCAGCCGCGCTCCTCTCAGGCAGCAGCAGCAACAGGCAGCAGCAGCAGCAGCAGCAACAACAACAGACTTGTGCTTGTGTGAGGTCTGCGCGTTTGAAGTCTCTTATCTTCTGTGTTGCTGAGAGGGGACTGTCTCCTTCACCAATGCAAAGAGGAGGAGGCCGCAGCACATCGCGCAGCAGCAGCTTCACGCTCGTGCTGCTGCTGCTGCTGCTGCTGCATGCACAAGTCTGAGGCAGCGGGTTCAGCAGCAGCACTTTGGCGCGAAGTGTCTCCTGTCTCCAAACCCGTTCCCGCTGCTGCTTCTCCTCAGGAGTAACAACAGCAGCAGCAGCAGCTGCTGCTGCTGCTGCTGCTTCCTGCAGAGTCTCCAAGTGATGCGAAAGCCACCTGCACACACCGCGCATCTCAGCAGAGAACTCAACCTGAGCAGCAGCAGCAGCAGCAGCAGCAAGAACAACAACAGCAGCAACAGCGAAGAGGAGGTGCGGTTGCTGTTCTATCACCAGCAGCAAACTCCACTTCAGGGAAGCCCTGCAGCAGCAGCTCGTTGCTGCGGAGCCGGCAGGTGCAGCAGCAACAGCAGCAGCAGGTGCAGCTTGTGCATGCGTGGCACAAGCTGCACCTTTCTGCTGCTGTTGCTGCTGCTGCTGCTTCTGCTGCTGCTGTCAGTTCTTGCATGCTGGTGAAGGTGAGAAAGGCTCACGTGAGTTTGCTGCTGCAGCGTATCATTTGCTGCTGCACCTGCTGCTGCTGCAGCAGCCCCAGCTTGAGTGCAACATGCACAGTCTCCCAGAGTCTCCAATGCTGCATCCGCCTTCTAACTGTCTCCTTTCTCTCTGTGCTGCTCAGGGGGAGGAGACACCTTCCTATAGGGACAGCTACAGCTAGCGCCTCAACAAGCCGCTGCAGCAGCAAACAAACACAAAAAGAGGAGACAAACATCAAAGGAGACAAACATACAGCAGCAGCAGCAGCAGCAGCAAAAGACAGACAGCTGCAGCAGCAGCAAACAGCCAGAAACAGCAGACAGACTGCAGCAACAGCAGCAGCACTCAATCAGCAGCAAACCACAACCGCAGCTGCACCTCCATCAAAGCAGGAGACACGAGAGAGAGAGCCCCTTCCGCTTCAACCCCATCTCCGTTGCTGCTGCTGTTGCTGCTGCTGCTGCTATTGCTGCTGCTGCTGCTATTGCTGCTGCTGCTATTGCTGCTGCTGCTGCTATTGCTGCTGCTGCTGCTGCTGCCGGGAGCTACCAAGGCGGGGTGTACGCAAGCGAGCCTCATGGCCTCAACAGCTGCGCTGGTGATGGCTTCCACGTTATCCTTTGCTGCTGCTGCTGCTGCTGCATCTGTTGCTGCTGCTGCTGCTGTTGCTGCGCCTGCTGGCGTGGGAGCAGCAGCTCCTGCAGCAGCAAGAAGGCCCTGTGCACAGTTTGCTTCTATTAGCGAGTACTGCTGCAGCTGAGAAGGAGACAGCTGCAGCAAATGCAGCTGTCGCTGAGGTGGTGGCAGCTCCTGCAGCAGCAAAGGGAGACGCTGTCTCCTCAGTATAAGAGGAAAGGCGCAGCGACGAGCAAACCACAGCGCCTCATCTGCTGCTGCTGCTGCTGCTGCTGCTGTTGCTGCTGCTGCTGTTGCTGCTGCTGCTGGTGCAGCTAGAGAATCCACTGCAGCAGCACTTGGAAAGACAGTCGGCAGCAGCTGCGGCAGCAGCAGCCGCAACGCGGAGTAGTGATTGAACACCGGGTAGCTGCACACAAACCCTAAACCCTAAACCCTAAACCCTAAACCCTAAACCATGATCTACTTGGAGGTGTTTCGACTGCAGCAGCAGCGGCAGCAGCAGCAGCAGGAGGTGCGCAGCTTACTCTGTAAGAATCAGCTTCCTTATACACCCCGTGGCTGAGGAGACAGTCTCCTTAGAGGAGACCGTCTGCTTTGCTGCTGCGCTCAACTGGCTGCTGCAGCAGTTGTCTCCTTTTGCTTCTGAGGCCCAGCAGCTATCAACAGCTGCCATTGCTGCGTACGAAGCAGAGTCTGCTGAGTGCAGCGCGCTGCAGCAGCGAGCGGCACTTTCCTGTTGCTGCTGCTGCTGCTCTTGCTGCTGCTGCTGTTGCTGCTGCTGCTGCTGCTGCATCTGCTGCTTCCAAGTGCACTGGCGGCGGCACCTCGAGTCAACAATAAGAAGAGACAGAGAAGAATGCTGTCTCCGCAGCTGCTGCAGCAAAGGAGACTGGGGGCCCCCTGCCAGTGCAGCAAACGCCGCTATGTAGAGGGGCCCCTGAGACCCGCTACCAGCAGGCTGCTCTCCGGCTGCTGTTCCTGCTGCTGCTGCTGCTGCTGATGAAGATGAAGCTGGCTCGGGCTCACTCGCTGCAGATGCGTGCAAGTAGCAGCAGCTAGGACCTGCTGCTGCTGCTGCTGTCAGTCCGGACGCTGTTGTTGCTGTTGCTGCTGCTGCTGCTGCTTCCCCGTGCATGTGCGGCAGCAGAAGGGCCCCTTCAGCGTCTTGAGGAGACAGTAGAGGCTTCACCTTTAAACTGGGGGCCCACTCCTTAGCCAGCTGCACCCATCTGCGCATCTGCAGCAAATCCGCTGTCCTGCTGCTGCTGCTGCTGCTGCTGCTCTCGCTGCTGCTGCTGCTGCAGTCGCAGCAAGGCCCTCCAGACACCACAACTAAAGAAGGGGCCTTAAAGGCCCCCAGTTGATACCCCAGAGACAACGCCATCAACACTTGAGACGTACGCCCCTGAAGCAGCAGCAGCAGCAGCAGCAGCAGCAGCAGCAACAGCAGCAAACGCAACAGGTAAAAGCCGATGCATGTTAGAGAGGAACCGCAGCAGCAGCAAAGGCAGAAGCAACAACAGCAGCAGCGAAAACAGCAGCAGCAGCAGCAACAACAACAACAACAACAGCAGCAGCAGCAGCAGCAGCAACAGCAGCAGCAGCAGCAGCAGCAGCAGCAACAGCAGCAGCAGCAGGAATGACTTGCCATGCCTGGTTCATCTGCTAGCACAGCAGCAGCAGCAGCAGCACACTTGCTGTCGCCCGGCTGCAGCGCCGCACACAGCCAGCGAACCCCTGAATATAAAAAAGGAGGGAGAAAGAGACAGAGACAAAATAATATTTAAAAAAGAAGACAAAAGGAGACAGTTGGAGACAGAAGGAGACACCCCACAAGACAGAGCCTCCTCTTCGGTGTCTCCTTCGCATATCTGCTACCCACAAACCCAGGGGCCTCTGATGTGCATTTAGTTGCTTTCTTGCTGCTGCTGCTGCTGCAGCTTCTGCGGCTGCTACTACTCGTGTTGCTGCTGCTTCTGCCCCTGCTGCTGCTGCTACTTTTGCTGCTACTTCTGCTTCTGCTGCTGCTGCTGCTGCTGCAGTTACCTGCAACTTGGTAGTTGTGTCTCTGCATCTGAAAGAGGAGACAAATTGTAGATTGAGAGACCTGCGGCACAGACAGCCGCGGGAAGGAGCAGCAGCACCAGCAGCAGCAACCTGCTGCTGCTGCTGCTTCTATATCTCCTTCATGGAAACACCCCCCAGAGGAGACACCTGCGTTGCAGCTGTTTGCTGCTGCACCTGCTGAGGCCGCTGAAGCCACAACAGCATCAGCGTGGGTGCTGCTGCTGCTGCTGCTGCTGCTGCTGAATCCACAAGGGGTAATCAGCTGCTCTTTGCTGCTTCCAAAGAGAGCAGACGTAGGGGGACCCCCCTGCAGCAGAGGCGACTGCAGCAGCTGCTGCTGCTCTGTGGGGTTCATTTGCTCTTTAAGGGATCGGGCGATCCCCAAGGAGACAGAAAATGCAGAGGCCCTGAGGGCCTCCAGATGGGGGCCCCCGGGGCCCCCATCTGCGCCTGAGCTGCCGGAGGAAAGGAAGTGCTGCTGGTGCTGCTGCTGCGCAGCAGCAGCAGCAGCACCAGCTGCTGCTGGTGCTGCAGAGGAGGAGGAAGCAGCGCAGCAATAAACTTGAGGGTGCTGCTGAGGGATAACTGTTGCTGCTGCTGACGAGAGAGGAGCTGTCTCCTCGCGGCCGAGGAGGGCCGCCGTCATTGGAGTGTCTGCGTGCTGCTGCTGCTGCTGCTGCTGCTATTTCTGCTGCTGCTGCTGTTTCTGCTGCTGTTAGCCTCGCTTATGGTGTTGCTCCTGCTGCTACCTCTACCGCCGCCTCAGCCACTGCTGTTGCTGTTGCTGCTGCTGCTGCTGCTGCTGCTGCTGCTGCAGCTAGTGTGCAGCTAGCCTTGCAAAATATCTCTTTGAATGGGGCTTAATAAATAAAAGGAGACAAAAAAAGAGACAGAGAATTTGTTTGAAGGCCCCAGCAAAGAGGGGCAGCAGCAAGGGGGCCTCTCAGCCCCTGGGTGTGTGTAAGGAAGATAAGAGTATACGTTGCTGCTAGCAGCAACAATAAATGCAGATGTTTGCTGCTGCTGCAGGAGTCACTGCTGCTGCTGTTGCTGCAACGACAGCCCAATGCTCTGCTGCTGCTGCTGCTGCTGCTGCAGCAAGGGGGCCCCACCAGCAGCCGCATCACCACCCCCCCACCACCCTAGGGGGCCCCCTAGAGGCGGTGTGCTATATTCTCCTTTCTTTGCTGCTGCTGCTGCTGCTGCTGCGTTGCTGCTGTTGATTTCGTCGGAGTGTCTCCTTTTTATTGATTTATTTGTCTCCTTTTGCAGCTGCTGCGCGGCTTCATGCTAAGGCCCTACTGGGGGGTGTAAGGGCCCCCCCCAGGGCTCTAGGGTTTAGGGTTTAGGGTTTAGGGTTTAGGGTGAGTGCAATGCAGAGTGTATGCGCAGCTCGCGCGAAGACAGCGCAGCAGCAACTGGCTGTCTTCCTGCCTCTCTTCCCGCTGTCTCCTCTTCTGCTGTCTCTTCTACTTGAGCGTCTCTTATCTCTGTCTCCTTCTGTCTTTATCATTACACCCCAGCAAACCCTAGGGGCCTATGCATGCACGAGACAAGAAGGGGCCCCCTCACCAGCAGCAAACTCCCCCCAGCAACAGCAGCAGCAGCAGCAGCAGCAGCAGCAGCAGCAGCAGCAGCAGCAGCAGCAAGGGGCCCAGGGATGGAACCCACTTGAGAAAGAGGAGCTGCTGCAGCAAGTAGCTGCTCTGCAGTTTGTCTGCCCCTCTGTTTGTGTTGTAGCTTCTCTGTCTCCGTTTGTGTCTCTGTTTGATATAACAGCAGCAACACGTTCGCTGCTGCCGCTGCAGCCTGCTGCTGCTGCTGCTTCGGGTGTATGTATACCTCAAGCCCCGCAGCAGCTGCATGCAGCACAACGCAGCTCATCTAATCTTTTTCTTATTCCTGTCTTTAAGTGGGCCGAAGGCCTTAATGAAGGGAGAGGGGGGCCCCTGATTGGTGCTGCTTGTCTCCCTGCTGCTGCTGCTGCTGCTGCTGCTGCTGCTGCACCGGGGAAGGAGACAACAACAGGAGCAGGAGCAGCAGCAGCAGCACGAGCAGCAGCAGCAGCACGCGCAGCAGCAGCAGCACGAGCAGCAGCAGCTGCTGCTGCTGATGCTGCAGGCGCCGCATGCATCAGGGGCCCCTGGAAGCAGGTTGCGTTGCAGGTTGGGGCCCTCAGAAGCATAGAAAGCAACGCTAGAATTTTGCTTTTATTTGTGGGGTGCCGCGCTGCTCTAACTACCCCTCAGCCGCCCCCGCCCAACTGCAGCACAGCAGCAGCAGCAGCAGCAGCAGCAGCAGCAGAAGACGCAGATGCAGCAACAGCACAAGCTGCAGCAGACGCAGCAGCAGAACCGCCAACACCCGCAGAAACAACCCCTACAGAAGAAGAGTCAGAAGACACTGCTGCTGCTCCTGCTGCTGCTTCTGTTGCTTCGGCGCCAGCAGCACGAAGCAGCAAACGAAGCAAAAATAGCAGCAGCAGCAGCAGCAGCAGCAGGGGTCGTAAGAAAGCTCGCTGCCGCGATTTGCTGTCTTCAATGGATGTGTTGGTGTGCGAGTTGCTGCTGCTGTGGGGTGTCGATACAGTGCATGAATTTGATGAAGAAGCAGCAGCAGCACTTCTCTACCGCGTCTTTCGAGCAGCAGCAGCAGCAGCAGCAAAACAACTTAAGCCGCTGCCACGAGGGAAGCTGCGTCGCCTGGCTGCTTCAGCAAATGAACAAGCGGAAGCACGCTCTGCTGCTGCTGCTGCTCCCGCTGCTGCTGCTGCTGCTGCTTGTGAGGGGACAGATTTAGATAGGGCCCCACAGCAGCCTTCAGGAGCTCTTAGCACGACAGAGGCTTTGAGGCGCTGCTGGCAGCAGCAGCTGCTGCAGCTCCCTGGGGTGTCTGAGGAGGTTGCATGCGCTGTTGCTGCTGCCTTCCCGACAGCTGCACATTTATTCGCTCGTGTAGAAGCAGAAGCAGCAGCAGCAGCAGCAGCAGGAGCAGCACCAAGAGCAGCAGCAGCAGCATCAGCAAAGCCACGAGCAGCAGCACGAGCAGCAGCAGCAGCAGCAGCAGCAGAAGACCTACCTCTTTTAAAAGAGTTAGCAGCAATTGTTGTTGGGGGCCGCTGCAACAGCCGCCGTGTGGGGCTCAGCACAGCAAAAAAAATTTTAAGTTTTTTCGGGGTGTCTGCGCACCCTGAGGACCTCCTTTAGTTCTTTTTGTCGCTTTTACCCTCGCTGTCTTTATTATATATATACTATATATACTGTTTTTTGTAAAAGTATAGATATACAAATATATATATTTATATATTTATTTATATATTTATATATATATATGCGTGTATATATATTATATATATGTATATAATATATATATATATATATATATATATATGTCCTTATATATATATATATATATATATATAT